CAGATTGGTAGAGACTCTAGGAGGTTTTGCCCCCCTCTGTAACAGAAGCACGGCCCTTGTCCTTGGATCTCTTGGTGCATTTTAACAATCCTTCCAGGACACGGTCTGCCCATGTGCCCCTGCTTTACCTGTGTAGTTTCTGTAATAGCTTAGAAAAGGATTGTGTGGGATGGTTTGGAGAAAGCAAGGGGTTAGATTAGATGACCTCCAGAGTTTTCTTCCAGCCCTATCTTTCTATGATTCTGTGAAGTTCTGGTTTTGTAGAGTGCCAGTAGTACTGCTGTAAGCTTTCTGCAGTGCCTCACATATCATTCCGCTCTTTGGCTGTGATCAGCTCAGGAAGAGAAGGAGTGACATTAGTCTTTTTAAAGCCATTTAGCACTGTGTTAGTGATCCAAAGGGGAAAAATACACCCAGTGAAGTTTGTGGATGAATTGGACTGGTGGTGTAGTAAACAGTTACAAAGACTTCTGTGTACATTTCATAGTAGTTTCATAGTAGCTAGGGTCAGGAGGGACCTGAACAGATAACGTAGCCTGACCCCCGGCCACAGGCAGGAATGAATGCTGGGTTCACAAGACCCCAGACAGGTGATCATCTAACCTCTTTTTTTATTTGCCCAAGGTAGGGGTGAGGACCACTTCCCTGGGAAGTTTGTTCCATATTCTGGCCACCCTAACTGTAAAATATTACCTCCTGATCTCTAACCGAAACCTATTCTCCATCAGCTTATTACCATTGTTCCTTGTCACTCCAGGTGGTGCTGGGGAGAATAGGGCTCTTCCTATTTGCTGATGGTCTCCCCTGACCTATCCAACTTTATTGCTAACCTAGGTACAACCAACATCCAGTGTGATAAGCCAGTCACACTCCTGGACACAAATAATGTACAAGATGGGGGAGGAGATCCTTCAAAACGGTGGAAAAAACTGGCTCCCACCCGACCAGCTCAGCAAAGGCGGATGCGGTGACCAAGGCAGTTAAGGTGATCCTTGATGTCTATGCTGGTGCAGTGGCTCTGGACCTTTTTGGACATTCAGCCTCCCTCAGAAAATACCAGCTGTTCCTTTTCACTTGTTTTTGACCTCAGAAAAAAATAACAGCTATTCTTCCCTTGCCTAGAGCTCAGAAAAGCCCCAACAGGCCAGCTTGGTTTGAAACCTGATGAGGCCAAAGTTGGTTCCTTATCCCCAGTTCCTTTTTCAAAGCTAATCTTTATACAATTAAAAGTTGCTAGGAATGAATGAGACATGTTAAGGACCTAGACTTTCCTCAAAAATGTGTATTAATGTAAAATAATATACATTATGACATCATGCAGTAATATGCACATGTATATAATGTAATAATGTGCATTATATAATATGCAATAGACTTGTATAATGGAATAATATATGCATGTGTATGATGTAGTAATATACATTATAATAATAAGCAATAATATGTAAAATAATATGTCTCAGGTACATGGTTGGCAGGCTCACACATGACAAGGGAGCTCTGGGCTGAGCAGTGCCCTGCCCAGAGTTATTTGGAAGTGTCCCCGTGTGGTGGAGACATGAGGTTTGGGGTGACCCGAAGAAGACTGTGTCCCATAACCTCAGGTCCTTATTCAACCCTAGGCGAGGTTCTCTGGTAGATGTGATCTCTTTGATCAGATCTGCTGGGTAGTTGGGACAGAGGGCTTTGCAAGCTTTTGGGTACTAGCACCCTTCTTCCCGCACAGGGAACCTCTGTTGCTCTGAGGTCTCCGATGAACGTGAAAAGTGATGTATTCGAGCCACGCTAGTATTTCACATTTGTGTTAGTCAAGCCACCTGTTGGACGATGCCCTAGGTCTCTAGTCATTGTGACTGACAGGTGGACAACCTTTAAGTTTGTAAAGATGAGCTTGGAGAAAGGATCCAGGACCGGGATTAAGGAGCCAAGAACCGTCTCCTGTTGGGAGCCCCTGGCGTTGCCTTGTGAAGCCGGTCGGCGCCCGCTGGCGGCCCGAGGGGCGGAGGGGGGGTGCTCCCTGGCCGGGCCAGCACGTCGCCCCCGTGTCAGGGGCGGGAGCAGCGGCCGGGCCCTGCCCAGCTCCA